GTGCCTTCCGAATGGGTGGAGTGCACCAACTATAGACGCTGAGGGAACCGTTTTCGTGGGTAACGAGATGGGCAAGTTTTTTGCCCTCCGGGATCTGGATGGTGATGGAGTGACGTTTGGAGAGGGCGAGGTAGCTTTCTATGATACGAAGGCAGCCTTTGCCGGCTCCTCCAGTCCTGCCGTTGCCCCAGGTTTGCTGGCAGTGGCGTCCTGCGACTCCCTCTTCGTGTTCAAGCAGTGAAGCGCAGATTCTAAGGCCTATTATTTGCACGAAGTATCACCCCCGCATGCCAGAACCAGCTTGGTAGAAGAGCGAGTGCTGGCTGAAGCAAAAGCTGTCCAGCGCACAGAGCACTCTAGTGATTCTAGTTGTCAGTGGCTGCAAATATTTGCCACCGCAACCTTAAACCCTAATCCCTAAAAGCACAAGCTCCGTCCGCTCGACCATTCCAGATAAATCGTGTTCCAGATGCTGAGACCCCATAGCCGCCCAAGAGCAAATCAACGAGGTTCCAACAGCCAGAGATCCGAAGCCACAATGCTGCTGCTCCTGCTGCAGCTGCTGCTACAACTCCTCCTACTCCACCCTCGCCTCACCCCCAACCCAGCTTAACCCACCCACACCTGGCGTGACCATCACTGCCGCCGCCAAGATTCCTACTACATAATCCCTACGCAATCCTATGTGATCTGTATATATGTTCCTATATTATCTCTGTATACACCCTACATACCCAAAATATGGCCCTATGCACCTGCAGGCAGCCGCTGCGGATGAGAATTGGCCACTGCAACCCTCCAGGGAACCGGCGTCGAAGGGTTGCTACGCAGGAGCCAGAGTTACAAGGAAGTTACCAGGTTATATCGGGCTTAAAAACCAACCCTAAACCCTAAACTAAACCTACCTTTGCCACCCTGGGGGACCATTGCCCCCAACCTTGACATATTGCCAGCCAGCCCCAAAAGGAGACCTTTGAAAAGGGGACCATGTCAACTTCCATGCTTGTGTGGGGGAGGTTACATGAGCCATAGTCTAAACTCTTTAAAGGGTCTAAAAAGGGGGTTCTGCAGGGGACTACTATAGGGGTCATTAAGGCGGATACTAGGAGTTTAGACTATAGCTCACATGGGCTGACAAAGGGATGTATGAGATTCCCTTTACACGTTTCAAAGAGGTCAACAACAGCCGCTCTTCGCAGCTCAGAGCTTTCCAAGTGTGACGACTCCCAGCATGTCCCAGAGCCCTAAACCCTAAGGCCTAAATAGTAGCTTCCATTGTCTTTTCCATTATCCCTGTATAGCCCCTCTATATAACCCTGCACAATTATTAGGATTGTATCCCCTAATCCCGTTTATATAAACTCTTTAGCCCAAGTCCTGTTTATCCGAAATGTGTCCCCAAACCTGCTTGGGGGGTAGCTAGAAGTGGCATGGAAGTCCCCCAAGCCAGCTTAGTCACAGTTTGGATGCTGCCTTACTCATTAGCAATTGGACAACACTTATAGTATGATTATATAGAGCCCTTAATTTGAAACCCGGTATTGACTGTTAATGAGTGGGGGCAGGACCCAGATTATGGTCATCATGGTTGGAGCCCCACTCCAAATAACCCATGAACCCTCCAAGTAAACCTGAAACCATGGACCGGCTCAAATGCAGGACAAGCCGACCATGCAAAGTGGCATGCCAACGTGCATCGCCTGACCAACATCGGTTCTACTCTGCTCAGTACCATATATGAGCGTTTCTCATCGTTTCTCAAAAACGCCGCTGCGATGCTGCGACTGTCCACTATGTTTTCTCTTCCTCCGTTTTATTGGATTGAAGGATACCCCCCATCTTACGGGAACCCACGCACAAGAGTAACGCTAGTCTCCTAAAACATGGGGACCCAATACAGACCCCATAATCTTTTATAATCCTTGTTATGGGACCCCAAAAATGGCACCTGCAATTCCTTGAGAAATCCCAAGATATCTGTCAGGTAAAGCTTCCCCCTCGCATTGTATTGGGTTCCTGATTGTGATTATACCTCTCATCCTGAAGGGTTTTCATTATGCTTTAGGAGGACCCCCCACCCTGTAATAGTGGTAAAATAGGAATATAAGAGGACCCTAATATACTATCCCTTATAGTCACTATTACTGGGTAGGGGTCCACATGAATCATACTGGGGTTTAGGGTTTAGGGTTTAGGATACCTTTTTCTACCCGAACCCAAGGAGTGAATTATTAAGTATACCCAACGCCTCAACCCATTGTGTTGGTCAGAAGTTAAGTTGAAAACTTGCACAAAACCCGCCCAAAGATTCCGACCGGAACCCTATAGAATTTGTATGAACCCTAGTTAAATCCTAAGTAGTTTGTTGACATCCTAAACCCTAAGCAAATTGCGTAAACCCTTAACACGATACACTTTGTATCAACCCCTTAACTTGGTCGGCTTGAAGTTTGATCCTCCATGGCTTGGTGGCTCAAGTTCGTGGGCGACGAGATAGCTTGGAAGGAAGAAGTCAAAAATAGGAATGGAAACTACCATGGGCCCTTAGGTCCCTTGAATGGGATTTTAGGGATGTATAGGGCTGTAGAGGGATAAAGGGTGACTGGCGAAGGAAATGGAACATATTCATGATGGGACTACTATACGGATCCATTCTTGCATTCCTTGCTTACCAGAGGAAAGTCCTTGGCTAATCTTCATCACACTGTTATTGCTACCAGTGCAGTTTTGGGTGTCGTCATCATCATCATCAGCAGTTGTTCTGATTGTTGCTGCTATTCTCACTCTAAGGTGTGGGCTAAAGGTTTGAGATGTTGCGCTACCTGGTTCCTGGGCTTAACTCTGGGCCCTTCATTGGGCTGGTAGGGTTTTGTAGGGTATGCCATAGGTATTCAAGGACCCCAGGAGCAAGACCCATACTTGGAGTCCATAATTCAAACCTCGGATTCAAGCCTAAGCCATGGGCAGCCTTCAGTGAGGCAAAGAATCATTTCTCCTGCGAGCATTTAGGGTTCAGCTTGCAGAAAAGGGATTTTCTACCTGCAGCGTAGAATCTTGAAGTCACTGTTGAGATGATCCTTAGTTAGACTAGTTTTTAGCCTTTTACTCTAGCCTGATGAACGTTTCATATTGTAAGGTACACTAAGGACCCTACGGATACCCTCTCGCCTGGCGCTTACAGTAAGGGTTTGGCGTTGAGCAGTTTGAAAGCCTTCATATCCGTGATGACATTTGATATTTTTGTTGCTGCTGCAGTTATTGGATCATGTTAACAACTGTAATAACTATTGCAAATTGCGTTCAGCGAATGTTTACATGTTGCGACGCCTTGATAAGATAAACAGACGTAAGTCCAAATGCTTGCAAGCCTGGGCTTCCATGGGTTTAGGGTTTAGGGATGTCATTTTCCACTTTCGTTTCCATTTGATTCCTCATTAACACAACCCCCACCCCATAGTAGTTTCCATCTTCTTTGCCATGGTTTAAAGCCGTTCAATAAGGGATTTTGGACACCCGACCCCCAATAGTCATATGATAATTCTTACGGGGTCCTTATGGCAGGGGTTGCAGGGACAAGATCCCCTTAGCACTTACTATAAACCCCTGTCTTACCACAGTTTTCATTTCATTTTCCATGTTCTTTTCCACTTGATTCTGCATTATAGGGGTAGCATCCCTAAACCCTAAGCCCTTAACCCTGACCCTGATATCTGCAGCCATGGGCTGAAATTCCCTATCAGCCTCGGCCATCCATTTGGGAGTTTCTCCAAAAAGGGGGACTGTTGGGGACTCTCAGGAGTTTATATGGAATAAGGGTTTATGTTTGGGGTGTAGGGTAGATGTTGGAGTTCCATTTACAGATTGTACAGGGGTCATTTTGAGAAACTCTTCTTTCACGATGCAGTTTGTTTGGGCTGCATGCTCCATCGTTGTGGTGGGTGGCATTCATGGTACCGCCGTTGCGACGGAGGATTGCCAAGATGCTGAACGGGCAGGGTTCTCTGTGTTGCAGGCCCACCACCTCATCACCAAGGACCTGGTAAAGAAAAAAGAAGAGCATTTCTGGGCGTCGGGTCGTGGAAACTTTCCTGAATATGCGGTGTCTGTTTACTCTGCCCCGTTTGAGCTCAGTGAATCATTTGCTTGGCAGTGGCACCACCCATTGGGAAGGTTTGCGACATTGACGTACGGGGCAGCTATCGACGAGGGAAGCAACATCTACCTGTCCTGTGCAGATGGGGTAAGAAAGTTTGACCGCGATGGGACCATGCTTTGGGAATATCTCTCGCTGCCAGCAGAGGTGATGAATGCGCCTTCAGTGTACAATGGCGCAGTTTATGTTAGTGACACTCACGGTCATGTTTTCGCTTTAGATATGCAGAGCGGGGAGCGAATCTGGCGGACTCGCGTCTCTGCGACCATCGGCCAAGACAACGGCTTCAACATGGTCCATGCTGGTATTGCCATTTCAGCATGTAGCTGGCGAGAGCCATCGCCAAATGGTGGTGCAAACCACAAGATAAAAGCTTTGAATGCAAGCACGGGGGGCAGATTGTGGACGTTTGAGCCAGACACGCCTGTTTGGAACTTCTTACCTTTGTTCGTGGAAGACGATTCCTTTGTCTTTCAGGATATGACCGGGAAGGTCTACCGTCTGATCTTGAGCACGGGGGCACTGGTGTGGAAGGCCGGAGGACTGAATGGGACTTGGACCGACGGAGGCGTGGCTGTCGGTCCGAACGGTTTGGTTTACGCTGTGAATAACAATCGCCCCTTGCGACACAGCACCACAACCAAATCTGAACCGGGTCCTGGAACGCTCAGCGCCTACAATCTGACTAGCGGAGAGTTGGTGTGGGCGATTACAACGCCTCGGCCTCCAAACAATGCCCCCGCCATCGGACGGGTCAAGAATGTGCCAGGTCTTTCTGTCGTAATGCCTCTCTGTTTTCAGGGACAACCAGGAGCGACTTGTGATGTACAAGTCTATGATGCAGAGACTGGCGGCCTTCGCTGGGTCTTCCACGGCCCTTCCCAGGATGGGCCGCTGCAGGCTGGTGACAGAGAGGGCATCGCTGCTCGCTCCAAGCACGGTGTGCGCCCGGTGTGCCTTCCGAATGGGTGGAGTGCA